GGCTCTGTGGGTTTTCTCGACTTCGGCCTCGGCACCTGGCAACCGTGTCCACCGACTCTGGTGGGCCCCTGCACGTGCCAGCCGGACGGCCAGCAGCTATTAAAACTGCTCTGCTTGTGTCCTCAGACCGAGGCGTCACCCGCCTTGCCACAGACAGTCAGCCCCTCCTGCCAGCACTCCACGGAGGATGAGCTGGGGCATCGTTGCTGCTGGCACCACAGTCCTGCAAAAGGTCTGCAATTTGGGGAGATGAGATTCAAGGTGTGCTATTTATCTTCATGCAGGCAGCTCGGTTCTTGTTACTGTTTTCTGCAGTACACGTGGTATGATATCGGATCTCCCCCACAGAAAGGGCTACCTTGAACTTCACGTGGTACCTCTAGCTAGAGCCCTTCGTCAGAGAGGTCCACCCAGGCCTCTGCCGGGGGCTGCGGTGGGAGGAATGTGCCAGGTACCCACTCAGCATCACTGGAGTGAGGAAGCCTTGTTCTACTGTCTTGCTCCAGTTGTAACAGACCAGGCAAAGCTTCTTCAACTAGCTCTTGTCTCCCGATCCGGGAAAGCAGTGTTTACCAGGAAGAGCCACCTTCCGCTGCACATCCTTCCTGCTTTTCCAAGGGAAGCGGGGAGGCACGGCAGGTGATTGCCTCAGGAAGTTTCCGTCCCAGTGAGGATCCTTGCTGGGGCTGCTGTCTCCTACCCAAATTGGAAATGACTGCTGCCAGGTGTGTAAGAAACTCCCTGGAGGACGGAATGAGGAAGTGTGATCGTTTATGTGTGATTTAGAAAATGAAGGTCCAAATGCAGATTGGCAGCGAGAGGTCTGTCTTCCTGCCAACTTCCATCACTGAAAGGAGGGCGCGATCTTTAAGAAGTGACAATTGTGGGGGGGAGGGAGTGGGGACAAGGAGCATCTGGACCAACTCTGAGAGGGATGCCTCTCAGGCAAGCTTGATCCATTTGATTTAAAGAAGGGACTTCAGACTTGATGCAGAAATAGGCTAATCAAATGCCCTGATGTGCCTGGGGCCGTCCCATTTTATGCCAGCCACCCAAGTTTAATTTTCAGTGGTGCCTCCTTTCACTTTCAGAAAAGTCCAGACATGGCTGATAGGTTCTATGATCACCCTAGGCCAAAGGAGAGGAAAAGAGAGAGAGAAAGAGACAGTGAGTTATGGCTGGACATGAATCCAGAAGAGCGACAAGTAGGACGTGGGATTCTGAGAAAGTTCGTTTTGCTGAGCCTGAAGGAAGGGCAGGCAGTAGAGGTTGGCTCATTCTCAAGCATGTTTAGAGTCACGGGCTGGCGGGCAATGTCGGGGCATAGAGTGAGAGGGTGGATGCTGGAAGGGTCTCCCGGGCAATCTAATTCACTTCCGCTTTCACCACAAGGGGACACTGGGCTAAAAGAGAGAGGTGACCTGTCTGTGATCACACCGGGTTCCCAGCAAAGTGGGAACCAGACTCGTCCCTGGAGGGTCAAGCCCAGGTGCTGTGTTCTGGGTGAGAGGGAACGGGATGTCTCTGAGGGCTGCTGCCGGGGATTAATAGCTACATGGCAGGTGACGTGGCAGCTCCCGAGCAGGGGGAGTCACAGGCCTCGCTGTGGTTCCGGGGCTGAGGAGGAAGGACAGAGACAGGTGAGGGCCACATCTGCTGGGCACGAGTGGGTGTGGGACTGGAGGGCAGGTCTGGAGCCACAACAGAGTGGTGGGTGGAGTCGAGGGGTAACCCAGCTCTCCGGGGCAGTGCCTGCAAGGGGCCAAAGAGATGAACTGGTCAGTAGAACGAAGAACCAGTGAAGAAACAGGTTGGTATGGACATGAATGGGGTCAGATAAGTAATTTATAGAACTGACATCTTTTCTTTGGTTCGGATTGTAGTGAAACCGAACAGAGAGGCAAACCCTGATAACAGTTGTCTTATCTCTTGACATCTCCTTCCTACCCCCTTAACAGGGCTGCAGTGGTGGGAAAATCGCAAGTCAGTAAGAGCCCTGACCTCTGCTTGGTAGATGGGGAAACTGAATCATGGAGAAGCCAGCTCCCTTCCGTCTTATGGTGCTCTCTGCAGATGGGGTGTGATTAACAACAAGCCACAAGAGCGGTTCCACCAGCCAGCCACAACAGTACATTCTGTGGTTTCATTGCAGTCTGACCTCCCATGCGGCTCGGGTGTGGTGGAGGGGGTGAGGTGGTAGACTTTTCTGTGAATCTGCTCATCTGGATGGAAGTCCCGGCAAGAGGCCCAGCTCGAGGCTCCAGAGACGTGGCTTTCGGTCCCCGTTCTGCTGCCTGCTAACTAGCGGTGCGGAGATGGAGCATCACTTCTCCTCCCTCGCCGACTCTTCCTGGTTGTCAGATGAAGCCTCTGGTCTCGGCCACCTCCCAAGTCTCAACCCCTGGCTCTGTTTTTCCAGGGATATCCGACCTTGGCTCAAGCGGTATCTGACCTTGGCTGGGCACCCTCACAGCTCTGAATGAGATCGTTGGCCTTAGATCTTAATGATCTCTGACAATGTAGGGATACAAAGTATCCAATGTTGACAATGTAGGGATAACAACGGCACTGCGTGCAAAGTATTGTTTAAAAAAAAAAACAAAACCCAGCATATTTGGTTCAGATTTACAGTTTTTGCCTCCAGCAACCTTTCGCCCAATGACGCCGAATGAACTGTCGAAGTTTATGGCCGACCATCTTCAAAGTGAATGGCTCACCCCCGTAAACATATCCTGGACTGCAGGCTGGTTGTAGCTGGAACGATCTACTGTCACCCTGAGCCAGTTCTCCCACATAACGTCTACAAAAATCCTGCACGCCACTGTCACACCCACGTGGTGCTCTCTGATATGTGACATTAGAAACCTCAATCTCCTGAAAAAAAATCGTACAGTAGTTTCAGTACATATGAACCGAGCACGCATTTTGTTCAGTGAAACTTCTTTGATGTTGCCTGTTCAAATACCTGCAAATATTGAGAAAACACCCACAGACGTCGTCCTCGGCTGCCACCGTACGGTTTGCAGAAACCAACAGGGAAGGCATGAAATACCGAAGGTCACTGGAGATCGTGCACCTTCCAGGACACCTCAGGCTCTCTGAACCCTCCTCTACCACCTGCAACTGCTAGTATCTGAGCGAATGTTCCAGAGAAGCCGGCCGGGGGCAGTAGGAGAGTCAGAAGGAAGGCGAGAAACTGAAAGGAGAAGCAGGATTTTGGCGGTATCGCTTTCCACCCTTACGCTATTGACTTGAAGAAGTTCAGGGTCACTGGGGCATCGCAGGTCCCTGGCGGTACCAAGCAGCACACAGCAGTGCGTTCAGCACACCGAAGCACAGCAGGGAAGGGAAAAAGGGGGATAGATGGATAGGAGAACAACAAGAGGGAAGCAGGAAGGAGCAGATGGCTGGAGAAAACACTGGACAGAACAGGAAGGAAGGGCCACGAGGCTCCATGCCCATGTACCTTGAATAGTGACTGGGGGTAAAGAGGTGAGTGTCTGGGGCCCAAGGGCTGCGGCAAGGCCACAGAAACACAGTGTGTATCTGGGAGGAAATGTCCTTGGGGGAATAGATGTCAGGACAGAAGACTGAGGGCTGACCCTGGATAACCTCAAAACACCGAGAAAAGCTTATATGCCTGCCTGTATGCCAAAGTTGGTACATTGTACCCAGGACTCTGGGGGAGCAGGTCTCCCAGATGGATCCGTTATTTGGTATCGGCACCTCTTTTTTTTTAATTTTTAATTTTTTTTATTTAAAAAACAAAATTTTTTTTAACGTTTATTTATTTTTGAGACAGAGAGAGACAGAGCATGAACAGGGGAGGGGCAGAGAGAGAGAGAGAGAGGGAGACACAGAATCTGAAACAGGCTCCAGGCTCTGAGCCGTCAGCACAGAGCCCGACACGGGGCTCGAACCCACGGACCGTGAGATCATGACCTGAGCCGAAGTCGGACGCTTAACCGACCAAGCCACCCAGGCGCCCCGGCACCTCTTTATTATAAAATGAACCACACTGAAAGCTTAGGGAAAAAAAAAAAAAGGCAGACCAAAAATATCACATCTCAGGCAAATGAGCTGGAAATCCCTTAGAGTGACGCCCTCTATTTTTCCGCCCATCTCTAAAGTCGGAGGACACCTGGTATGGTGTTCAGGTGAGAGACGCAATTCCTGGGCCACGTGGTTTCCTGACGGTACGGGATTGAAATGACGTCACGGAAATGCATATGTTTCAAGGTGACTCTAAGTATAGTTTCTGGGTGAAAACATGAGTCTTAGTCATTGGTGGAAAGGTGTTGGCGTGCCTCCGTGACTTGTTGGTGTCTACTCCTCTCTGCCTTCGGAGACAGAGTTTTAATTAAATTCATGCAGGCTGCTGGCCAAGTTTTTCCACGCTTTTGGCTCACCTGGATGTACGACCTACATGTAGGTTATACCACACCTGTGCTCCTTTGTCGCTCAGAGGGAAAGAACGCAATGGTTACCAAGAAATGGCGAAGCTTGTCTTCCACTCAAGGGCAAGGCATCTGTGACATGAGATGCCCACTCCAGTGGTTAATATGGACAGTCTCATTTGTGTGGCGCTCCCTGTGGTGACGAAAGGGAGGATGTGGCAGACACAGAACGTATGGAGTCCTTTGTCTTAATTAAAAAGTGCAGTGAGAGTCATGGAATTTGGCCAAGCCTCATAAATCTGCTCAGAGAATCAAGATTCTGTCAGATAAGCTTAAATAGGACCAACTGAGCCCTCTGGAGAATTAAAAGAGATTCCCCGCTGGTAGCTGACACCCACTCCCTGTCACTTTGCTGTACTCCACGGACGGCGGTTGTGCTCATTAACCAGCAACCCTCCTACCCGCCGATGACAAGTTTATCCCCGCGGAGCACCGAATTCAGGGATGATAAATTTACTCCTGCTTGTAAAAATGAAACTCTCCTCAGGGCAATAAAAGTGCTGCGAGCCTTTAAGGAAATCAGTACTTTGTCTGATAACCTACCTTCATTAACAAAGCCTGGTCCTCTTGCTCAGGACAGCTCCTCACTGCCAGCCAGAACTGCTCTAGAGTAACTGGAAGGGAAGAAACAGAAAAGGTGAAGGACCCCCCTTCAGCCCCTGAGGACTCCTGGCATGGAGAAGCGCATTGGAGTTATAACAGATGCAGGGGGGATGCTATGGGTCTTTCCTTGGTGATGGGATAGATAGAGGTCTCTCTGGCCCCAGGGTAGGTCAGGGCCAGCACACGGGGACTTCTCCACCACTGTCAGGCCGGGATGATTACAGCAGAGCACACGGCCATTACCATCAACAAAGCTCTATCCTAAAGCTCTAGGAGGTCCTGGGTGTAGCCACCAATGACCAGCTGGCCCCCCGCGAAGACCATACTAACACCCCAGTTTCGTGTGATCTCCATTATTTAGCGGACCAACTGCCTTTGTAAACTGGGCAGTGCTAAATGTTCTATCTTGGTGTTCTGTCATGATTCCCACGGATTTAAGGCCTCTCGTGGTGTGAATGTGATAATGGCCCTCAGTGTTGACTCAAGCAAATCCCATGAACTCCCCTACATATTTCAAGTCATGTTTCCCCAATCATCCTTCTCCAGCAGAATGGCAGAGAGAAAACTCAGGAAAGCTTGCAAGAAAATACTTTAAGGGTCCATTTAGATTGGCCATGCTCTAGGAATATTAATGTAGACAATTTATACCAATTACATTCCCTTTCTCCGTCACGGTGGCCTAGCTCTCACCAAAAGCCCATGAGTGTGGGCACCCCCTTTTCCTTTTGGTTGTACTAAACACCAAACCACACGCTACCTTCCCTGCATACTGTTTTGACTATATTATTTCACTTTTAAAAATGCTCCCATGAGTCCCTACCGCCCTCAGATTTAAATCTACTTCTTTTGACAGGCATTAAGATTTCAACTTTAGTCAACCATCTAGACGAGCCTATTGTTTCTAGACTCAAAGTTGTGTCCGCTCTCTACCTGCCATAACCGTTTACCACTGTCTGCTGGGCACAGTCCTACCACTTGCCTTTGAGCAGGGCAAAGTTCTTCTACTGGAAGTTTGCAGCCCTGCCCATTCAAAGCCACTGACCACCTCTGGGGTCCTGCCCAACCTGCACAGAGCCCACGGGAGTGGGCAGAGATACACCCAGCTTCATGACTGAGGAAGAGTCTGGTTCCACTAGTCTGACCCCAAGGATGTCCGGATGTCATGTTTACAAATGCAGATATTTTGAAAAGAATTGGATCATCAAGAATGAATTTTCATCAGGAAAGCATTGTCTGGTTAATTTTTTGTTGTGTTCAACGTTACCTAAAAAAATATAAATCTTTAGAGAGTTTTCATCTATGACTAAATTACTCTATGGTTTTAACCGTTATCACTTGTATCTTGTCCTCTTTATTTTTCCCAAGTCTAAAATTTTGCCCTTATCCAGACAAAATGCGCTCAGAACCAACAGAAGGATCGATCGGTGTTGTCCACTTTATATGTATATGCCCATCCAGTCATGGCTAAAGCTGGCTAAGGCATGGGGCGGCCCCCCCCCCCGGCTAAAGCTCCAATTAATTACATTGAATCTTAAATTATTTTAAACAATTAAAAAATTTTTTAAGAGAGTTAAGAATTAATACGATACTTTCCCCACGAAAGGGGCTCAACAGAAACTCAGCATGAGATAAGAGCCCGACCTATGCATTCATATGATTGTGGTTTGCTCTCACCCATGTAGAACACACCAGCCCCTAAAAGACACCAAACTTTGTTTTGAACTTTCGTGGTGACATTGACCTCTACCGTCCGAGGATGAGTAAAGAATAATCTACAAATTCAGGGGCTAGGTTTTCTTTAAGTTTTTTGTAATATTTATTTATTTTTGAGAGACAGAGACAGGGCAGGGGAGGGGCAGACACACACACACACACACACACACACACACACACACACAGAATCCACAACAGGCTCCAGGCTCTGAGCCATCAGCACAGAGCCTGATGTGGGGCTCAAACTCACAAGCCATGAGATCATGACATGAGCCGAAGTCGGACATTTAACTGACTGAGCCACCTAGGTGGTCCTGGCTAGGTTTCCTTCAGATAATCTTTTTGGAGGTAGCAATTTCATTTGGTAAAAGTTTATGCTGTGACTTGGAATCTTCTGAGCACAGGCCATGGGAACCTGAATGTTTGTTACTTGCTTCCTTGGGGGGCTCCTAGATTCTCACCCTCACCTCCCCTCCTCTGTGATGACCCCAGAGCCATACCTCCAGCTGCCTATGGCTGGACTCCACTGCGACACTTTTCGGTGTTCACAAGATGTGGCACCCAGCCAGGTGTAGCTGTTCCTTTGAACCCTGAACATACAATCCAAACCAGTTGACTTCCATGCCTAGCTAACCCTTCCCGGAGTTTTCCCATTTCTTTGTCACCGTCATGCCCCAGCCAGATCTGTGATTCTTCCTTCCTGTCGCTGAGCCTGCTGACCCTTCTTGCACAGTGTCTCCCTGAGGCACCCCTTTCCCACGGCACAGGTGCCACTTCGACTCCTGTACAACACTTCTGACTTGTTCCCCAGCCTTGATGCCTGGTCCCCCTCTCCGGTCGCCGTGCCCACGGCCGCCACCACAGGAAAACTAGCACGGCCATTGCTCTGCATACACTGCCTCCCCTCTGCATCTCAGCCCCTCTTCCCTGGTGCAGACCCCCCTCTGCCAGCTCCGCACTATCATTAATCCTCGGCTGGGTCCTCAGCCATTCCGTCGTCTTCCCGTCTGCTCAAACCCCACCCCTTTCCTGGGCCCAACCAGTCAAGGCCGAGTCAGACAGTCCTCACTGGTGGTCTTCACCACCACTCCCAGCTGTGTGTCCCTGGACAAGCCACATGCTCTCCCTGAGCCTTAGTTTCCTCACAGTCACCTGCGGAGACTGGTGCCTGCCCAGTGGATGTGGTGTTAGGAAGAAGGGCCGTAGGCCTAGGCACAGTGCCCGGCATGGCCTGGGCCCCCGACCCTGCACCTTTGAGAAGCTTCCGCTTTCCTCACCACGCTTATTTCTTCTCCACTTGATACTTTGGTGGACACATTACACACTGGATTCTTCTCTTTAAATAGTTTTTTTGGCTTATGGGTGCACACACTGCCTCATCCGAGGAGTGAGACCGTGCACTCCATAGGCAGCCTCGGGTCTTTTCCTGAGCTCTGTTCTATGCCTGTCGTTGTCTAACATGTCCAACGTCACCCACAAAAACATGCCCCGTTTTGTGGACCGAAGTGCCCTGTGGGAACACAGGACGCCATAGATGCAGTTTCCCCTTAACTGGCTGGCTCGGGTTCATGACGCCTGCCCCTCTCACCCTGTCTATACAAGCGACAAGAGCCAACCTTGAAAACTGGGCACCAACAGCGGCAGAGCGGACCGAGTCCCAGGTTGTTTTCTCCTCGCCTTCGATGTCAGCGTGACGTGTGCTCTCATGCCAACGGCAGGCTCACGGCTCACCTCCCCCAACTCCGATTTCTGCCCAACCCCAGAAGAAGAGGGAGGGTGGGCACATTGCCAGCCGCTCTCCACCAGGTCTGCACGGCCACCGGGCCTGCCTGGGCTGCCTAACCCACTGAGAAGCATCGCCACAAGGTTGACATTTCATTCCCCTCTCGCTTCCCTCCCCAGCCTTTAAATGAGAGAGAAAAAAACAAAACCACCCTAAAAATGAAAGCATTTGTGGTATCTCCGTTCCTCTACCCCTGCTGCTGATTCAAGGGGCTGCCTGCCTAATGAGAAGAAGGCGGTGCGACGAAACACAGGGCTCGTGGCAGAGGTGCCAGTCTCCTTCAAAGACACTGGGTGAGACTTTCTTGATTCCACGTCGATTGTTTTAATGGCTCTGAAGTGTCCCAGTGCAGTTCATCTCAGCAGGGGATGCGAACGCTTCCACCTGTCTGAATACAGTCAGGGTCCCTCGGTTCAACCCTTCCACTTGGGGCGACAGAAAAGATGGGCCTGACAATAGAGGGAGAACAACAGATTTTGAGGTAAAAAGTAGCTTTGAGGTGCGGGGTTGCGGTGGGGGAGCCTAGGGAAAAAAAATGACCCAGCTGAACTAAGAAAATGGTAGTTGGGGAGAACAAACTTACAGGCCAGCTTGGACTATATAAGTCTCCCCTTCTGACTATGTGCTGTCATGGGCTGGGAGGTGAGGTCCGACAGCCTTGCCCCTGCAGCCATTTTTGAAAGGTAGACAGGGCTCTGCAACATGGGAGATCCCTGAGACAAGGAAATGGTTGTACCTAGAATGTCTTTCACTATGACATGTGAATGCAAATAAGGGGGGAAAGCAAGACAAACCAAATGCACAATAGCATTGAACTTGTTTCCCTCTGAAATATGGCCGTAAGATTGGGGAACTATCACCACGTTAGCAGGCACAAGTGACCTCGACAGATGACATAGGGGCTGTATCGCTCTCAGAACGTTCTTTCAGCTTCTCTCTCAATCCCCAAACAGGGCGCTGGAGAACTGGGGTCCTTCCCCAGGTGCCAAGCTTTAGAGAGCCTTGCTCTGCCATTCCTGTGGCTGTAGCCTTCCCTGTGTGGCAATGGGGGGGGGGTTACCTGCTTAGGGTCCGCACCCCACTTCCCAGGGTCCTGGGTTTATAGCTTGAGTCTCTTCCCTGGGAATGTACTCCATCTGGTGTGCATACCCCCAGACTCATGGGGTGCCCAAGGGGCAGGTGTTGGCAGGGGTGTAGACAGACCCTGTGTGTCTAGACTGGAGGATTCACACGGTGTGGGATGGTTCTGGGGATGTGGACAGCTAGGGATCTGCAGGGCGGATGCTTCTCCCCATGCTGCTGAGTTCACAAAACTTCCCAGAGTCTGAGAATTGTAAATTGGAGCCTGGCTTTTCCAGATGAGTGAAGCTACATTTGTTCAGGCAGCAGGACAGGGTAGATTTTCTTCAACACTTTGCCAGCCTGTTTTATACGCTTCCCTTGTGCCCCACACGTAGAAGGGAACGCTTGTTGTGCTAGAGAATGATGCTAAAATACAGGCTCACTCAAACCTCT